GGGGTGCCCGTGACCCACCCCCCCCCCCCACCCCTTGGTAGGCCTTCTTTTGAGCAAACAACCTATAATATTCAGGTGGCAAAAAAGCCATGACAATATCTTGGCCGTAAAAGCCATTGTTGAAAAGCCCACTTTTTCAAATTTGTTTCTTTGTAAAGTATTTTCGTCAACGGCTCTTGTCTTTAGTTAATATGGGCCTTCGTGCAGCGATAATACGACTGACAATCTGGTGAGTAGCCTCTGTGACCCCCCCTTTGAAAAATCCTGGCTACACCCCTGCTCAGCGTTTGAATCATAAAGATATTTCAATTTTGTGCTTCTAAACACTTTTAGCCGTAATAAAAGACGAAAAAATTGCGAAGATCAAGATGGCGTTCTCAAAGTGCCCTTGTTTGACTTTTTAAAGCAATGTCATGTTTGATGCCAAAATCTCATTGGTTCCTACGCATCAACTCATAGTACCTTCAACCTTATTGGCCCCTGCAACAGACATCCGAACATACAAAGCCACAAAGATACATACGCTCAAACCACTGACATATTAGCTTTTTTTTCAAAATAGCTCAAAACCTGTCGTAATTAGGTCTTGCCTAATGGCACAACGGAAGTATATATAGCCGTTTTCAACAGCGCTTTGATCGACAGGAAATAATATCTAGTAGATAAATATTTTTGTTTAGCCTCATGCTCACACGTGTGGATTTCACACATGTCGATCATCGCTGTACTTGTGCAAATGCCAGATATGTGAGATATTTAGTTTCCAAAAAGGTTAAACCAGAACTTTATCCTCGGAAATAAGAGAAAAAATTAAACTTAATTTCGTTGAAACAAGAATCGAAGCCCACGTTAATGGCAACCATAACGCCTGCAGGGGCGTAGTACTTCAAGAAGGATCCGATAGTTTTGATGGCCTATAAAACACCGCGACACCTAATTTCACATTTTTTTCTTTTAAAGAATAGTAATTTCTCGTATATTGTTTACTATATCATTTTGAATGGTAAAAGTTACTTTAATTTCCTAGTATTGTGAGCTCACGTTTTCCACAAAATCGGCTGACGTTGATGACGAGAACGGAATCAAAAAGGCATCAATGAAAATGTGAAACGCACGTGCAGATCAAGACTTTTCCAGGTGCTCTACTATCGACCCGGGGGGGGGGAGGTACTGCCATAAATGGGATATATAAGTATGTGCTGCTGTGAAGGGTATGGTTTTCAAGCAGTTTACTCTGGGATAGGGTATATAAATCAGAGAGTTTTGGTCTACAGTAGGGTATCATTGTCATGGAACTGATCAATTGGTTGAAGATTTTAGTCTAGACCAGCCTGTAGGGAAACCGGGAATTGCCACTCGAAACTATAAAAAATCAAATCGGTTTTGGTTTGGCTGGACTGTGCTAGTGACCTCAGTAGTTTCTGGAAAACAGCTTCTGTAGGATAGGGGGGATTTGGGGAGTTAAGTCTAGACGGTAGCAAAGTTCACTTGCACTATTGTAGCTCTGGTATAGGCCAAGGATTCCAGGGTCCCGGCCGCGGCACATCCCCACCCAAAAATTCCTAAAGTACCTCCCCTCGGACTATCGATCAGAACTCTGAACGCTTGGAACAGGCTACTTTCATGCATTCTTCTCCTCAAATTGTCTTTTCCAGCTGGCTTCGATGTCGTAGTTATGCAAGGTTCCTCAAGCTGGGGTTTCCATACACTAGGGATCGTTTCAATTGTGATGAATCGTCACAAAAACGCAAGGCGTTTTAGTAGATACGCATTTTTTTGACTTTACAGATTTTGTAAGTCTTTTTCAGTTTTAAAAGTACCGTCGTCCCTCCCTGGATTTTGAGAACTTCGCAGTTTGAGAACACATTGCTGTTATCAGCAGGTCAGGATTGAACGTGTTTCGCAACTTCGAAAAGGCAAATTTCAGCATGCATGAAACAAAACGTGTATCACACTTATATTGGCGAAGTTCTTTACCTCACTTTTACGGCCAAGTTTCTCTAAAATGCGCTACTAAGGATATGACATAGAAAAAAACACGATAAGCGAAAACGATGAACATGACATTCTTTATAACGTTGACAAGTGACGTGGCGGAGGTAATTCTGAAAATCGGTCAAATGAAAAGACAAATCTCGGATGACTGGTAGTACTTGTTCCTTGAATAACATTTTTGACAAATCTGTCAACGGGCTACAGGTGAGAAATTAAACCTGATAATTATAACGCACGAATAATTTACCATAAAAAAGCTTCAAACTAGTGAACAACAAGGTTTCGTTCGTCACCGAATTTTTGTTAAAATAATATAAGCAGTAAAAATGATAACTTTTCCAATATTTAATCGATAAGAATCTCACCGATAAGTAGAGACTTTGGAGCTGTGGCATATTTTCAGCTCGCGTTGTTTAGACCGATAGGATTTCATGAAAAGGGTGGACCTAAGCCCAGATCTAAGAGGAGTTCATTAAATCTTTCTGAATTCAAGTCATTATTGACGTTTTTCATTCTTGGGACCCAATGGAAGCTTTTGTTTCTGTAAACATATTACGTTTTGATATTTTTGGTCCAAAAGATAATGAAATTTTCGGTAGCGTCTCCCAGGGCAGGTTCTTTGAGGTACCGCCTCAGAATTTCAGAAGTGTGCTAACGGATAATGCATTCGTTCTTTTCGCGAGTTTTTTTTTATGACTTGAAACTAGACGCTGAAAGAGGCCTTACTGATTCCAATTCTAAAAGCATAGATATGAAGGACAGCAATAAATTTTGATTTCTCTTTGTTTGAGTAAATGCAATTTTTTAAGCCGTGCCGACAAAACCACTCCGCTCCGAACAGGTGAAGGCTACTAAGCAAGTAACGTTCAAGCTATTTCATGGATCTGTAAAAAAGCCGTGAGAAAATCCAAACTAGAACAGAATCCACGTATTTTTTTCTCGATTCTACACATTAGCGGTTTACTGAGGGTTTATTCAAAGCCCAAAAAACAAGGAAGTAAATAAATGAAAAAAGCGACCTGCCGGCGGACTTCTGTTCGTAATGGCGGCGATTGGTGCAAAAGTAAGGCCATATTCATCTTCAAAATTTGTCAGTAATTAGGATAAGAACTAGTTTTCCCTTTGATAAAACCAAAAAAAAAAATTTTTGAATCGCAAGAGTTAAAAAAAATTAAACTAGTATTCGAAGGGCTGAAAAAAGATTCTGATAAAGTAGCAACCTACGAAAGTATCTATGGTCAGTTAGGAAGTGAAACAGGATGCTATAGATGAGGCAATATTAAACACTACTTCTTTAAATTTTTTGCCCCTAAAATATACAGCTTTGTAGATATATACAAAGAAGCATCACACTGTTTTGTTTTTTTCTTTCGCGGTCTTCTGTAAGAAAGGCTGCAAATCCATTAACACCACTAATTCCACGGTTTTTTTCTAAACTTGCTTTTTTGCCGCCCGTTGGATGAATGTGTCGCAGCTCCATTTCATGAAGTGACGAAATTTTGATGACTAAACCACTGTGTTACTGAAATGGCTAAGAGCTGAATAATTTTTAGAAAAGTGTCAGAACTGAATTTAAACGGCGAACTAACCATGCATCGTTGTCGTCGAATTTTTCTATCATCGTGCTCAGGTGTATCAACCCACGGTCGCCAAATTTTGCTGAAACGAACGAAGAGAAAAAGTAGTGGTTAGTGGAACACGTGTTGAGCTCAAGGGAAAACTTCATTGTTAAGACGACAAAGCTTACAAGGTCGACATGTATGTTGTACAAGTAGAAATTCATTCATTCGCTGTGCCAGTAATTGTTTTTGTGTTGCGCGGGTAATTCACCGTGTTCAAAGCATGAGTTGAATCGTGCACGTGAAATGATTAAAACGTAGAAAACACGGTTATACAACATTTTGCCCCAGTGAGCATAGTTTCAGCTCTCGTGTCTTTTCATCATTAAAACTTTAACACAACAGTGAATATTGACACAGTGGTTCGTGAAATTCCACCTTAGCACCGAACGCCGTTCTCTGCAACACGAATACTGTTCATGTTGGTCACTTTTAAGTTCCAAGGTGGCATCATACAGCGTTGGCATTGTTTATAACAAGGTACTTACTTCATGGCTTTGGTTCCTGTATGCATCAAAGATCCTATTAGCCTTTTTCTTTTACTTCTTGGCTTCCTCTGTGTACCTGAATTAATGCTACTGGAGAAAAGAGCGATGTCATTTATATATATTATAATTTCAAGAATTAATGAGCTAACTTAGAGTCACGAAATCGCGAAATCGCAATGTTACGTTGCCGTGTGTCGTAAACTTTACCTTAATTGTCCCCGCAATGCGGCAAAGATTTCCCCCTCCTCTTAAAACCTCTCAATACTGGTTTTCCAAGGAAAGCTGGACTTGTACACCAATGAAGCAATGGGCTCAGAAAGGTGTTAATGGAGAAACTGCTGGCGAATTTCAAGTCAGTCACTCTCGCATGTTTCATGAACAGTTTGTCCACGATACGAAAGTCACGAACGGCTGAATTTATGATTTATATATATGAACTACTCCTCCAATCTTCTCCAAAGCTGGATATCACAGGAACGCGTGAAACCTTTACAAAATGTTTGAGCAGCGCCAAAATCAGTCTAGACGTGTTTCGGGTGTCCACCGGACCTCGTTTATTTTCACACCTCAGCTGTTCATTCGGCCAATCGCTCGCGCTGCGCAGGAAGACTCTTTGTTTTGGGCCGTCAAAGGGCTTCTGTCTTGCGTGTGAAGTTTTCCTCACCTCATTTTGAAATCATTCAACATGGAAACCCAAATTAGTTTTTTTCAGGCGCTAAAATCAATACAAGCAAGAGCCCTAGCGACATGTGATCAATTGTCGCAAGGGCGAGAGAATAATTGAGCTTGTACATGTTTCACTGAGACACATGGAACATGGCCGGATATCAACTCACTCATTGGTCACGCAAAACAATTTGAAGCTTTTTCCTTTGTTTCGCGAAACTTAAAATGTAAATTTTTCCATACAGCCTTTTCCGATTTTTTTCTTTCTTGCTTTTGTAAGGAATAATGTACATTTTAAAACCTCTTAAGATGGCATTGACAAAAAGCTGTGAGCTGGCCCCATTGTCCTTTAGCAAATTCGTGAGCTTTTTCGGTTTCAGTAGGGTAGGGTAAGACAAAGGCAAGCAGCAATAGCTTTGTCTAAAGGTTTCAAATTGCTGGATAAAAAACGTAGAATTTACGATTCATGACACACGCTTTAAAATTTTCGCTAAAATTTTAATTGTCTACCGCAAAACACGCAAGGAAGAATGTATTTTTGATATTTTCACACCAACCCAGTCCCGGTGGGGTATTCTAGGCCACCAGATAGCAAAGATGTAGTCCGCCATGGTTTTCGCGTCTTGGTAAAAGAAATATTTTTCCCAATTCAACTATGGTAAGAAGTGCTATTTCTATTGTTTTTGGATTAGCGATAGGTGTAAGATTTGACAACAATTTGCCTTTGGTTTACCCAATTATTTGGCGAAATTATCAGTGGTAGCGAGCTTTGCGTACTCTGCGTACTGGAGGCGTCTGCTCAACTCGGTGGTGAAGTTAGATATTAAAGTGCCTAAAAATACTGCGTTATTAAAGAAATCTAGTGCTTTTACCGGCCGCTAATGCTACAAGTTAATGGACTATTTGAACAATAGAACATTGCAGGTGATTCTAGCGAGATAATTTTCTCTGATAATGGATTTTGAGATATAATTACAAAATTTTCCTGGCGGTACCTTTGTCAACCATGATAAATGAAATCTCACTGCTTATAAAGCCCCTGAAGAAGCTTGAGTAGTTTTCTCGCACATAAAAGCTGAAAGCCCTATATCTTAAAAGAAGTGAAAAGGCACCGAAACTAATGGAAATTGTCCATCTTATAATTAAAATATATTTATTTGTTCAGCTGAAATGGTTTTTTTGTATCCAAATGGGTTAGGTTGGACTGTGAAGTGGCCTAGTGAGGCCATTAGCTATTTGTGATTTAACTGCCTTGACAACATAACTGCGTGGACAAATTGATGAATTGTTCCAGTTGCCAACAATGACACAACCTGACCCAATTTCTACAAACAAAATTAAATAAAAAGGGGGAAAATATTAGAGCTTACTATGGTCTCCTGTCATAAAAATGCAGTACATTGTATTCAACATTTAAAAACTCAGTGTGTGAAAAATGAACATGATGAATACAGGGCTAGAAGTTATCTCGAATTTCAGCTTGACCTTTGGGCAAGCAGCTCTCAGCTTTTGCTTCCCTGGAGAGACTTCTTACTCGTCTTAGTTAATGATTTACCAGTAGTTAGAAGATGACTCGCTTGGACCTGGCCTTGTCCATGGGCCAATCGGGCAAGTGAGCTTTAAGAATTACTTGCTCAGTAAGAGAATCTGTCTATCTTGCATTACCAGACTGGACTATTTTCAGGCCCGGGAATCCAGTGAAAAAATGTATGCTGAAAATTAAAGGAAAGTTGTTAAACTGTGCTAGCATTTGTTGACCATGCAGAGGATGTCAATAATAGAACTTTTTCTCTTGTTTTTAACATCTAAAATAGGTAACATTAAATCAACAAAATCTAGGGTAAAATCTGTAGGATTTTACCCTGGAAAAAGAATGTCCCTCATAAAAACATAAGCCCATTAGAACTTACCAATTACCATACCAAATTGACAAAACCTTTAATCATTTTGTTTTTTTTTAGCCNACATTAAATCAACAAAATCTAGGGTAAAATCTGTAGGATTTTACCCTGGAAAAAGAATGTCCCTCATAAAAACATAAGCCCATTAGAACTTACCAATTACCATACCAAATTGACAAAACCTTTAATCATTTTGTTTTTTTTTAGCCCCAACACAGCTCAACACAGTATTCCTTAGAAAGGCTAGTTGAGAATAGCAACAGATTTTTACTCAAGCCATTAGTTAACTTGTTTCAAGCTTTACATGGCATAAATTATTCACTTTGAAATGCCAGCCCCATATATTACCCACCATTTTTCATAAGTTTTTATGATTTTGGACTGAAAAAAGTATTATATCATTTGTTTTATTCCACTTCATAAGTACCAAATTTTCTTGGTCATTTAAAATTTTAGAAAGTACTTAACAACTTAGCCTCAAAAGGAAATTAAGAGATCTTACTTGAGATCCAAGATTATTTCAGAGCTGTTTCTGGATAATGCATTAATACTTTGTTTAAAGGGATTTTTTTAGGATAAAACCTGTCATCTGTTTCTTTGTCTGAACAGAAAACACTGCTTTGCATTTGGAGTTCAGGAAATTACTTTTTCTATCTCTTTTTTATAAAGAAGTCTAAAAGTTCATATGAGCTTCAATGAAGTTCTGAATTTCCTTCCAACCTGCTTGTTGTTGATCTTTTTTATCGTAACCAGGAAAATCTGTGATTCAATATTAAACAAAATAACATTGAAACCATTCTCTTGGCTATGAAGTTGTCGTAGCAACTTAATGTATATTGTGTAGAGCGTCAAATGTTTCTGATTTTAACAAAAAAAATGCAAAGCTCACAGACGTATTTTTTCTTTTTTTTTGCCTACTTTATTTCTCAAAAACGAAACTCAAACTAGTGAAAAAAGTTCAGAACTGTGTTTACACTAAATCAAAGTCACATGCAAAAATTCAGTAACTTTGAAGCACTTTCAAAAATAACCACAAAAATCAAGGTGTTATTTTAGCACTGAGCCCATCATATTATAAACTTTTTGTCATCTGTGACTGTTTAGTTGTTAGATTACCACTTTTAGCCTAGATGACCCAATATATTTTTAAATATCATAAAAGAAGTAAATCGTTTGTGTTATTTCTGATTATGCCTTGTTTCAATAGATTGTTGCCTGCGAGCAAGCTCTCCCAGGGGTATGGAGTACCCCTGAGAGAGTTGTGATAATAATTACTGTATGTTTACTGTATGGTTGAACACATGATTTTCTTACATCTTAATGAATGAATTTCATGTATTGGAACTGCGGAATGGAGAAGTAAAGGGAAAGAAGGATCTTTGCATTTATTTCTTCATTCTGCAGTTTCAACCATACATATATGTTACAAACAAATTCAATGACCTGCTCCCAGGTGGTTTGCTAGCTCAATAACATTGGTTAGAGCACTGCACTGGTATTGCAGAGGTCAGGGTTCGAATCCTGGCAAGCCTAAATTTTGTTAGGCCTTCTTTTCACAACTGCATAAGTTGTGCTGTTAACTGCGAGGATCTTCTTTGCATTTATTTCACATCTGAATTTTACATATATTTTTAAAATACACTTTCAACATGAAAGTGTAAAGAGTTCTGCACTTTTTACTATCACAACAGAAAAAAAGGAGTTAAACTTGAAGTAGGAGTCAATTATGTTTGATGTTATGCTCCTTCCCACTGTAAAAAGTACAATGATTCATTAATGCCTTGCAGCTAGAGACGTACCTCATGCAGACTTGGTAAGTGAGACAACTTTTTTTTCTTGTCTCACAATTTCCCTCTTGTCTCATGCTCTGATGAGCTGATAACTGATTGATTTCTCACACTTTCTCTGAAATTCACACTCAAAGAACCTTTGGCGACATTTGTAGGGTTTGTTTCCAAGTTAGATAGCAAACACTTGAATTACCAACTTGGTGCATTGTTTGTATTCTTCAGCCTACTGTAACTTGCTGTGGCCAATGTTAAAAGAAACATAAATCGCTCATTTTAAGCTGAACCCCATCAATTGTTTGAATATGCAGTGATGAAGGAGATGTTTTCTACTTTAAAAAGAAAAATTTCTTTGATTACCCATTATCCCTACTGAAAATACTTCTACTAGGAAGATTGTGATCTGTGAAAACAGCTGTTTCGCCTCACTTATTGCCGCTGGGGACATTTTGCATTTCGTTTCCTCCTGGCAAAACATCCCAGCAGCAACGAGCGAGGAGAAACAGCTGTTTTTGCAGGCTACGACTTCTCTTGCCTTTTGGGCTTGCAAGCAAATGCATGTGAACTTTGCTGTTCCAGAGCAGTCATGCAGGCCTACCATTACATCCCCCCTTTTACTAAGATTGACTTTATATTGGCAAGTGTTGCTTGCCAGTCAGACAACAACAGGTCTGATGGGCTGCTCTGGGACCATTGGACATCAGCAGATATTTAACCCATGGAAAGGGTGACTTCAAGAGGGCAGTTAACAGGCAATTATCTCGTAATTAACAGACTCTAGAAGACTGGTGTTGTTGGCATTTCTATAACTATTTCCATTTATTCCTAATTATATGATTGTTTATTTTTTGTTTTTCGTTTGTCTCTGATTAGGGAACTGGAGCATCTCTTGCCGGTGAGGAGGAAGTGAGAGAACTGGAAGCTAATTCAAACTGTATGTGTACAGCGTAAGAAAACATCATAGGGCGATTATTAGATATATGGAAAAATATGATGTGTCTTATTGAAGAGGTATCATAAATAAGATGCAAATGTCTCTTGTAAAAGGCGAAAGAAATGTCTTTGCATCTCAAAGTAGGTCCACAATACCTCTTATGTGTAAAAGAACAGACATTTTGCAGCCGAAATAACCTGTAGTGCCTCTTAATCTCTTCAAAATAATTTGACTAATTAACTTTGAGTCAGTTTCATCATTTTTTATTATTATTATTATTATTATTTATTTTCTTCTGTTCTTCTCTCTTTCCTCAATATTAAAAGGCACAGGTTATGAGGATGTTATGAATGAGGGGACTGGGGTCAATTTAATAAAACTTTTACATGTGTAATTTACAAGTGGAGCCATCGTTTTAGAGTCTGAGAACAATAGCTACACTTGTAAATTACACATGTAAAAGTTTTTATTAATTTGACCCCTGGTGCTGGGGTTGGGTTGATATTGGAAGGGGCATTCTTAAATAGAGACAGCCTCAAAATTTAGATCTACAGAGCTTGACATCTCTGTTAGGGCGTAAGGGGCACATATGGTTACAGTAAAACAAGTAGCAAAACCGTGCAACTTGTTTTGCAACATTCCTGCAAAACGAGCTGAATAGCAATGTTGCACTTTTTACGACCCACGGGACAAACCTGTCTTGTAATATATCAGGTAGTTGCAGGCTGCAAAGTTGTTGCAGAAAGCGGAGAGTTGTTCTACTTTTAGAAAAAGAACCAGAATAATGGTGTGTCTTACTGGCACATGGCAAACTTGTTATGCAACAAGTGACGTAACTCCTGTGTATGGCATGATATCCGCATAATTTTATCCAGTCAGGAGACAGTATTCAGGGGCACCCAACGTCAATTTTTGGAAAATATCTGTTCGGAAGACGATTCGAGATCTAGAATTTTCGGAACATTTGTTGTAAAATTTCTTGCTTGCCTGCCTAATCTCTCCTAAGATTTTCGAACATCTAAAAAATGGTATAATTGCCTGTTTTCAACGGATTTTTACCCTAAAAAGGTCACCTAGAATTTTCGGGAGCCTTTTGTCTGGCTGAAATTTTCGAAAAGGTAGGTTTTGATCCCTATAATTTTCGGATCACTAGACTTTCAGCTAGGAAATCCGAACAGATGAAAACTTTTTAGGGGATAAAAAGATGCCCATATCTACCGTTTAAATGCTAAAATACGTCTAACAATGCTTTGTTTAAGTCGTTTTGAACTATAGTCTCGTTGGGTGCCCCTGAGTATTCATGCAACTTGCAACAACCTGATTTTTTCCCAGACAGGTTTGAACGTGGGTGGTAAAATGTGCAACATTGCCAATCAACTCGTTTTGCAGCAATGCTGCAAAACAAGTTTAAGGTATTTCATTGCCCAATTTACCTTAGCTTAAGTATAGTCATAACAGAGTCCGGCTGAATATTTATTGCAGTCAGTACAAAAGAGATACCCAAGCTGATGAAGAGATTTGCTCGCTATGATCCAGATGGCAGAAATGGTGGTATAACATTGAAACAGTTTTTGGACATACCAGAAATATCAAGCAATCCAATAATGCCTAAAGTGGCCTCTGCTCACCTTGATTCAAGATCACGCAAGATAACATACAGGTCATTTATCAACATGCTGTCTAGACTGAGTCCACGCAACTCACTTGATGACAGGAAGCAATGTGAGTTATTATTGTAGTTAATGTGTCATTTAATCAGTCATTCAGTGTTGTGTCTTTCCAACATGCATTTTTAATCTCTTCACTGCAATTTTTTCCAACCTTCCCGTATAAGAGACAAACAAAATTTATTGTCACATTATTCACCTTTCAATGCATATGTCCCCTTGTTTTGCTCTGCGCATCACCTACTGCACGTAAAATTGCGACATCAAAGTTGGCGGTGATTTTCACCGGTTGCCTTAAAGGATAATTAACAAAAGCCCCTGTTATAGTCCAAATAGTTTTAATAGCGATTATGATAACTTTTCCCTGCTAAAATAGTGTAGGTCTTAAAACTTGCCCCAGTCGTTCTGTGAGATTCTGTGCCGACTTTAGCATAAGTAGATGCTGATGATTTCTTTATCTCATGATGTGATGATTGTTTATGGTTTGTTAACTGCAGTTGCATTTCAAGTTCTGGACACTGATGGCAATGGACAGTTAACATACCGTGCGTTATTCAGTTTGTTTAGAATGGTGACAGGACCTGTACTGACAGATGACCAAGTGCTGGAACTGATAGCAGGAATTCTCAGCAGGACCAACCTGCAGCAAGATTCCAAAGTGTCATTTGAGGAATTCACTAATGTAAGGGATTTGATACACTGCGAGCAGTCTCTCTTTTTCTTCCGGTTTAGTAAGGGGAGTGCACGCGCGCGAGAGCGGCGAAGCCGCGAGAGGCGCGAAACGAGGGCGGCAGCCCGAGAAGAAAGAGAGACTGCCCGCTTAGCCAGAGCCAATGAAATACGCGTTTGCCTCATAACCATCTCCCATCTTGCGCCATCAGTCACGCGCGTGGCCATTTGCGTGTCTCGCGTTTTGCTCGACGGACTACAGAAAAAAGAGAGACTGCTCGTAGTCTAGGGATTTGATCATTTTCATGCTAAGCCAACTTGAATAGAAAGAGGAAACCTGAATCGAACAGCGACAACCTGCACGTAGCTTAAGAAAACAGCCGAGATATCGCGACGCCACTACTAGTTTCGCCGTGACTATAACGTCTGAGGAACGAGCGCAGAAATTCCATATTGATGACGTGTCACAGGATGGGGCTTCTGACTGATTGAAACAAACTTCCCAAGCAGCCCGACCAATCAGAAGCACTGCCCAGGTCTGGGTATTTATCCGTCATCAGTGTGGTATTTCTGTGCTCGTTCATCGGACGTTAGGGGCACCCAACGAGAACATAGTTCAAAACCAATCAAACATAGCATTGTTGAACGTATTTTAGTATTTAAACGGTAGATATAGGCATATTTTAATCCCCTTTAAAATTTTTCATCCGTTCGGATTTCCTATCTGAAAGTCTAGTGATCCGAAAATTATAGGGATCAAGACTTACCTTTTCGAAAATTTCAGCCACGAAAAAAGGCTCCCGAAACTTCTAGGTGACCTTTTTAGGGTAAAAATCCGTTTAAAAATGGGCAATTATGCCATTTTTTAGATGTTCGTAAATCCAAGGAGAGGCAGGCAAGCAAGAAATTTAACAACAAATGTTCCGAAAATTCTAGATCTCAAATCGTCTTCCTAACAGATATTTTCCGAAAATTGACGTTGAGTGCCCCAGGTCATATTCGTGGGGAACTTCCCCAGTGGCGTTACCAGATGTCAACTGTTTTCTCTGGCTATTAGCCTGCACCAGAAACTCATAAGGGGGGGTTGAAACGTGTAACTCCCATATGTTTGCTTTGTCCTATGCTCGTGATTATTCATTTTCGAAAGTACCATATTTGGAACGAGAAGAAGAGATAACAGACCAATCAAATTTCGTAAACAACGTGACGTAATCTTCCTTCAGGTTCCCGCGCCCGCTTAAAAAAATGGCCAACAAACGGGGGAAAAACTCCCGAAAGCCGAGAAAGCTTTCAAAGTTTGAAACCAGGAATATTACCGAAACACTGAGCAGGATATTATTGCCTTACCACACCCGGGCCAAACGTAACATTATGAAACCCATTGACGGCCTCGCAACTTCTTAGTCCAATCGTGTTTTGAGCTAATTTTATGAAAGAACAAACTCAAAACAATAGACAGAGAAGCCGTTTCTTGAAAATTTTTATTCAAAGTCCAAAAAGTTAATCCTCTAAAGCAATTCGGAAAACACTATCTGGATCGTGGATCCGTTCACGCAAGTGAAATCGGCTAAGCACATGGCAAAATTCAACACAAAATCCATCTCAAATCAGGGCACATTTTGTAATTTTTCTTTAGCGCCGAAGAGAAAAATTTGTAAAACGTCTATGAAACATTTAAAAATACATAAATTCCCTTTCAAAAACGTAATTGTCTTAGCCATAGAGTACAAAATGTACCTGAAAATTCAGCAAAAACTTCGCTGACTTGGTTGCATTTCAAAACAGGCCATGGGCTCCGCCGTGAAGAAAACAAGGTTGAATTCCTCGAAGGACGATTTCTTGATGAAAAGCTTCCCTTTCTCCACAAAAAGAAAGCTGAGCAGTCTTTTGAACTTTCTCTTTCCATTTTTTGTCTTTTAACGGTGTATTTTTAACCTTGAAATGTAGAACTCTTGTGTTTAAAGACCTGCATGGTAATCGCGCGGCAGTCTTTTTGTTGAAAATGGATATCCGTCACTAAGGTTTCCAAATATGGTCAAAATGAATATTCACGAGCATTGACCGCGAGTTACACGTTTCAACCCCTTATGGGTTTCTGTCTGCACCCAGTCTCTTTATGTTCGCAAGCATATTCTCCATACAGTTGGAAAGAATTTGTTTAGCAAACAAGACCCTGATACTTGCTGATCGTGTCCTTAATTTTCATGGATACATGTGTTCAATTAAGCAATGTTTTTTCAAAGAGAAAATATTTAGAGGCCAGCAGATTGGAGAGTTTTCTTCTCTTGAATGAGCTTCATTTCTCAAGTTTAAAAGGCTTCATATCTCTTACGGCAGAAGCTAATGATATGTTGAACGCACGTTTAATAGTTGATTTGCTTGTATTTGATACATAGAGCTTTCTAATGAGTTCATATACTAATCGATCAAGTCTTAACTTTTATTGTATCCTTCAGATTGTTTCAGATGATGAAATAGAACAAATTTTCACAGTGGAGTTGCAGCTTCCATAGTACACGCCATCAAGGGGCCTTCAGAGCCATGCGAAGTCAGTGTTCCTGGACACTGGATACCTTAAATCATTCCCACCAAGGGATTGCTGACCTCGGCAACTTTGTCCACCCTTAAGACATGCGTAAACAATAAGGCATACGTCCTGGCAAAAACCATCTCTTTGTAATATGCTTGCGGTTCTGCTTCGTCTGTTACTTCGAATTACTCCCCTTAAAATCAAAGTGACAGATAGCCAGCGTGCGTAGCAGGCGAGGTTTTTTTGTCGTGGTTTTCGTTTGTATTTTGTGAAGTAAGGGAAACGCCGCGCGAATGCTGAACTAATTTCAAACTAGAAAACTATGCTGACTTTCTTTCTCTCGCCTCTTCCTCCTTGCCATCGGTTTAACTGTTCGCGCGCGCAGCTGTATCTTTGACTTAATGAAACCCTAACGAAAATTACACCCGAGAAAACCGCTTGCTACGAAGGCTTAATGACAGATGGAAGATGACAAGAAAAGATGCAAACAGCCACGTTGTCGTCAGGAGAGAACATGTTTAGAACATTATAAACAGCTTTTTGTTTTTCAATAGTTTACGCCTCTAATAAAAATTAGAGAAATTCCCCTACGATTTTCTGAAGTTTTATTTTTCGCATTTCACTCCCCAGATTAAGCCATTTTTCGCAGAAAAAGGAAACCCAGAATTTCTGGAATCGAAAATGCGGTGGAAAGAGGAATCAGAAAAAAATTCACTTTCGTAAAACTTTAAATTGCATCTAAAATTTTCGGGAAAATACTGAAGTGCTGGTACTAGTTTCGAAAAGACTCAAGTTGTCCAAGGATGACAGAACAGATATAATTAGACCTTGTCACGGTTTTCGACGCCATCTTGACGAGTAGGCAAACGCGTGAGAAATTACAGTGTTTGTATGAGAATCCAGTGTCGAATAATTTCCAAAACGAGGTTAAGTGCTCATCCTTTGATATGGAAATGATTTTTCGAGGCTCATGCAAAGAAAACTCATTGTCACAAGAAAGGTTGTGCACTTGGCCTCATTTTGAAAGTGAGGGTTTTTGGAACTCGGAAGTGGCCTAGTGTAAACTAATGCTTCACTCATAGGGATTTCTACTGAAAAAATTTGAGGGCCTTACATGCGCTAGAAGACCTAGAACCACTTTTTAAAATTTTCCATACATTTCTCTGTAAAAATTTCCCGGGAAAAAACTGCAGACAAACATATTGAAAATCTAAAGAAAGCCTCTGGAGAAGTTTACGCACAGGTATGGCCCCCAAAATTTATTAGTAGACTACAGTTTCACTCCCTTTGTCAATTGCACTTCTCTGTACTCTGTACTGTAATTGAGAAAACTAGGACGCTGTGCTGTACTTTGCGCAAGACTTTTAGGTGAACTTTGATCGCAGATGACAATTATACTGCCGAATATTGGTATAATCTACAGTTTATTGACGGCTAAATGTATTGATTTTTCTTCATTAATGGACTACAGTGCGTATTTCAAGGAAGTAATCCAATACAACTATTGTCAATTCAGTTCGGTGTCCGCTTAATAGTTGCCTGCGTGCAGACGTCTCCTATTTCATTTGTTGCACGCGGAAGGAAATAGGAGACGTCTGCACGCAGGCAAGCTTAATAGAGGTTTTTAACAATAGAAATTAGCCAAATACAACTTATTTTACTGCTCGCGTCCGCTTAATAGAGGTGTCCGCAGTACGTAATTCAAGGAAGTAATCCAATACTACTATTGTCAATTCAGTCCGGTGTCCGCTTCATAGGGGTTCGTTATAAAGGAAAATATATAGACGTTAATTTCGGGACCTGTCCGCTTTATAGAGGGTGTCAGCTTAATTGGGTGTCCGCTTAATAGAGGTTTCAGTGTATATGGATGAAAATTTTCAGCTCGTGACGTATTAAATTCTGCAAACAGAATACTGCAATGCTGATCGTACTACACTCTTTTTTGTTATAAGAATGTTGTTTTTCCGGCCCAGGCTGAATATTCTTATTTTTCTGCCGATTTTAGGCTTAAAATATTCTTGTATTATTCTTAAATTATAGCCCATGGCATTTCCGTTTTAGAATTTATTGGGGTATCAATTACAAGTGTTTGGTATCTAGATCTGTTCGCGTTACATTGTGCACGTGCTCCATCGCTTTTCGTTGCAGTCAGCGAGGTCACGATGTCACGTCAAACGACACTTGGCCGTTTTGGCGTTAAAAAAAGCATTTCGCACACAAAATTATATCTATCCTTTTCAAAATCTCAGCCTCGGCTTTATTCTTAAAATATTCTTAAAATTTCGCAAATTTCAGCCTCGATATTCTTATAAAATATATTCTTATTAAAAAAAAANTTTCGCACACAAAATTATATCTATCCTTTTCAAAATCTCAGCCTCGGCTTTATTCTTAAAATATTCTTAAAATTTCGCAAATTTCAGCCTCGATATTCTTATAAAATATATTCTTATTAAAAAAAAAAGAGTGTACGTGAAAATTAACTTTTGCAAGACATCAACGCGACACCGAAGGAACTCAAAACAGAGCGGGATTGTAGCCATGGACAGCTGTTTCGCCATTCAGTTGTAGCTCATCAGCATGGCGTAACAGGCAGAGAGGGGATCGGCTGTGAAATAACCCGCGCACTTCGATTCTTTTAGCTCATGCTACCACTGTTTCCGTGTTTACCGAAAGTTGCATGATCACGTGATCAACTCATGCAAAGGGCCTATTGTGTAGCAAATACTAAACACCGCCAACAAGTTGGAGCAGATTGTTCGTGAATTGGTAAGGGAAGGTGAATAAAGACTTCGAAAGATTACGCACCTTTAAAAAGTTCATCCCATTCACAGAGCGCACATCGACAACTACAAGACACCCAAGACAAAAATGTCACTGTGGAGAAAGATCCTGTTGGTTTATGTACTCGCCCACCAACTACCGAACACGTTGAACGGGGAAATTGTGGGTAGGTATTAACTTATATTATGTGGGTAGGTATTAACTTACATTAACACTATTCTATGAACTAGTAATAATCATTTATTTACAGTATGTTGCCCAGTATCCGGACACTTCAGTTTAACATTGCAATAACTTCCCTCTGTTGATTTGTTACATATTAGTCGAAAGAATTCTGAAAATTGGCCCAGAGAAAATCTATTTAGTCCTTAATATTACGAAAGACAGTTTAATCTTTTTGCCTTTGTTTCCATCGCGAAATTTATGTTTTTGCAGAGCTCCTATGTTGTCCAGTATCCGGACAGCTGGCCCAGTATCCGGCCACAACAATAACAACGAACTTACTTTCGACAGGCAAGTGGCTTATAAGCTTCTCTTGCACTTGCAAAGTAATCTGGCAATCGATTCCAAAATATAATAACCTAGCATCGTTTTACAGCCGCATATTCACTAGCGCCCAAGATAAGGTGGACTGGCAGGTGACGTTTGGAATCACTGTCGTCCATATGGACCACCTGGAAGTGGTAGTTTGGGGTAAGCCACTCGTTCTTTGTGACAGGTGGCGGTGGCGGTTAAGAGTTGATCTTCCTGGGCACAGATGTATGTATTGTCCTTTTCGCCACACTTCTGACATCTTGCCCTACTCTTGCAATGGGCGGCATGATCAGTTAGTCGGTCGCTCCTGGCTCCGGTGCAATTGAAGCCAAGAGCTCTTGTTGAAGCACATTCCCTTTTGCGCCAGAGATTTCTTCTTTTCCTCCAGGGTGGTCACGCGCGTACACGTAGACGAAACATGATCTCCACTCTGACGGTAAACACTAGCCTGTTCCAAGCGTTCAGATAGTGGAGAGCGGTGCGAAGTAAAGAAAGCGATAAAAAGTAGAGGGGGACTCGCTTTTTTCGCGCTCCTTTTTACTTCGCACCGCTCCCCACTATCTGAACGCCTGGAACAGGCTAGGTAAACACGCGCGCGAGATTTTCGTTCCTCTGCGTGGTAGCCTGAGTATCAGGCCTTCCCCCAGAAACGCCTGATACTCAGGCTACTGCGTGGTAAAAACAAGACTTGCCTTTAGGGACATTGTTGCTCTCTTTCCCCACTGAACTGATATCTCTCCATTTCTTTAGAGCTAGAACTAGACGAGGTAAATCCCAGTCTTGCCGCCCAGCTTCACCTCCACAAGATCGGCTTTAATCCCATTTAGTATTTTTGAGGACCCTCGTTGACATTCCATTCACTCGCTCCAATTTGTCCAGTGGGAGTTTCCAGCCATTGTACTTTGTGTAATGAGGTCTTGTAAAAAGCGTTCACCCTCTTCGGATCAGGGTTTGTCACGATGGGGAACTCCAAAATATTATGAACGTATGCGTTGATAATTTCGCCGGTTTTGCCGTATTCTCCCTTGAGTATGTTCTTCGCTCTGTCATAGCCTTCGCTGTTGAGCGGCAAAGCGTCGATGTCAGCCGTCACCTTCGATTCAACGAGCTCTTTTAGCCTGCGTAGCAGGCGTCGAAACGGGTAGGGGGTAGGGGATAGGGAAGAAGGGAAAAAGGGGAGGGGATTGGGGAGAGGGGGAGGGGACCCTTTTCCCTTCCCTTTTCCCTTTCTCCCTCCTCCCTCCCCCTCCCCTTTTTGCGCCTGCCACGCAGGCTAAGCTCCTTTAAATGCGCGAACTTTGCGACCGCCGGTGAAAGTGTGGAGTCGATTTCCGCTTCAAACTTGTTCCAGAATGGAAGCCAGCTTTCGAACAACTCATCAAACTTTGTGATTGAAAGCTTTGGTAGCTTGAGCTTGATGACTAGCTTCTTTTTCCTTTTGATATAATCCATTATAGTTATCATGACCACCTGACATACACTATTTTTTTTTTTATAAGAATATATTTCATAAGAATATCGAGGCTGAAATTTGCGAAATTTTAAGAATAAAGCCGAGGCTGAGATTTTGAAAAGGATAGATATAATTTTGTATGTTGAAACATCTGTAAATACAATACAATTTTATGTTTTTAACCTAACCGTATAAAATTATTCCTTTCTCTG